TTGGAACTTCTTATTCAGTTCCTCACACACTTCCTTGTCGTTTGTAGTGAATGCTTCTCCCTCTATCCTTAATTTCATAACCTGTTCCTTTACTGTTGTTTTTCTCCTGATGTGGCTATGCAGCAATTTAGGCTGAGTCTTGGCCTTGCTTGCGATGTCATTTTCGTATTGTCTTTCTGCCTCTCTTTTCATCCTGACATATTCATTCCTGGCATTCTGGTATCTTTCTCTGCTCTCCGGTGTCCTGTTATTCCTATAGTTTCTCCATGCCCCTTCACTTTGCTGCTTAGCTAACCTATATCTCTGATTAAACCATGGGTTTCTCATCTTCAATTATCTTCACTTATTTGCTGCGTCCTTGCACTTCTACGTGATGTAGTCCATCATATCTTGGGCCGTCTTTTCCCTGAGCACTGTTTCCCATGCTATATCTGTTAGGAATTTTCTTATCTCCTCATAGTTTCCCTTTCGGTATGCTAACCTTTTGGTTTCGGTATCTCTCCTCGAGTTCAATAACCCTTCTTCAATCAGGTACTCAAACACCAATACACTGTGGTCACTCATTCCTACTGGGGCCTCAAAACCGATTTCTTATGTCAGAGTCGTTCAGGGTGAAGACCAGGTCGAGTCTCGTTGGTTCGTCATTTCCTCTTATCCTTGTGGGTTCTCTGACATGCTAGGTTAAGAAGTTTCTAGTCACCACCTCCAGTAGTTTGGCTCTCCACGTATCCTCGCCTCCATGCAGTTCCTTGTTCTCCCAATCAATTCTTCCGTGATTGAAGTCCCTCATGATGAGCAGGTGGGATCTATTTCTACAGGCAGCAGAGGCTGCCCTCTCAATTATAGTGCTAACTGCCATGTTGTTGTTTTCGTACTCTTGACTGGGTCTTCTGCCATTTGGTGGAGGGTTATATATTATTTATACTACTACTATCCTTGGTCCTCCCATTGTCATGGTGCCTGCTATGTAGTCTCTGAAACCCTCACAGCCCGGGATATCCATCTCCTTAAAATTCCATTCCTTTCTCATGAGTAGGGCCACTCCGCCTCCTCCCCTACCTTCCCTCTCTTTCCTTATTACTATGTACTCCTGGGGAAACACGGCATTCGTTATGATTCCAGAGAGTTTTGTTTCAGTGAGTCTGATTACATCTGGGTTCACTTCTTGTGCTCTTTCCCTTAGTTCACTTGCCTTGCTTGTGATCCCATCTATGTTCGAGTACATTGCCCTGAAACTGACTCTCTTCTGCTTCTCTTCTGGGGGGGACCTGTGGGGTCTGGGGTGAGCGGGAGCTGGGAGGATCTGGTATGGGGAGACTGGTAGAAGAGGAAGGGCTCTGGGGGGTGAGGGGGGAGGGGGAGGGATTGGGGGAGTGGGTGAGAGGGGGAGGGTTGGAGGGGGTGAAAGGGGAGGGTTGAGGTGGGTGAGAGGAGGAGGTTTGGGGGGATGGGGGAGAAAGGGGGGTTTGAGGGGGCAGTAGGTCCACGGCTGTGTGTGTGTGTTTGTGTGTGTGTGTGTGTGTGTGTGTGTGTGTGTGTGTGTGTGTGTGTGTGTGTGTGTGTGTGTGTGTGTGTGTGTGTGTGTGTGTGTGTGTGTGTGTGTGTGTGTGTGTGTGTGTGTGTGTGTGTGTGTGTGTGTGTGTGTGTGTGTGTGTGTGTGTGTGTGTGTGTGTGTGTGTGTGTGTGGGTGCGCGCGTGTGTGTATGTATGCTCGCGCGCGTGTGCGTGTGTGCGCGCGTGTATGTGTGCAAACATAATTGCCTCAGTTGTCAAAATATTTCACTGATATTTTAATAAAATTTGATGTCATTTGCATCATAAGCGCTTCACTACACAACACAAGTCACTATTTAGCCTCACTTTGTGTGATTACGTCACATACTAAGAAATAAGGAGAGACCGACACAGAGAGAAGAGGCAGAGAGATGAATAAAGAGGTTGACTTGTAAGGCTGGACTATTTCAAGAGAGGAGTATAGGAAGAGAATAGAAAATAAAGAAAATAGAAAATAAACGACGATAGAGTATACATAAAAATAATATATATGGAGAAAGGTTAATGAACAGAGAGTGGAAGTTGAGGCTGGGACCAGAGAGGGCCCCCTGGGGAGGGCCCCCTGGGGAGGGCCCCCTGGGGAGGGCCCCCTGGGGAGGGCCCCCTGGGGAGGGCCCCCTGGGGAGGGCCCTTGGGGAAGCCTCTGTGCCTCACCGTAAGGGTCGATGTAGCCGAAGGTGCCCTTGACCGCTTGTTCCTCGTCCTTGGTGTGGTAGTGCACTTGACCGGGGAACTCGTACCCGTAAGCATAACCAGGACCGGTCCTGTCAACGAAGTGGGACCTGCCGGCAGGACAAGGAGGTATAAACTAGCAACAACAGCAACTTGCACTGAGTCCTGGCTCGGTATACTTTAAGGGAAACACATACCGGAGCGCACGTGATCTCGCTATAGTGACAGCTCACTTCACCATCATCCTACATGGTAACCCTGCTCATATTTACCCAATATTTCTCAGCCGCTGAAGATGTTGAAGAGAGCTTCACCGAAACATATCCTTCAGCGACATGTGTCGGACCCATTAACAACATTTTATTTGGGGAGTGAATCTGTCCCCTTTAAGTGAAGAATATTTGAAATATATAGATTCGTGTTTGAGTCACTGCTCTAACACACGCATGTCTGTACATGCATCTGTCTTGTTTTGAAGAGTTTAAATTAATTTTTTAACTTCAATTTCACAATTAGAAATAAATTAAACACAATTTAACGGCATTGCTGGAGATAAGAGACCCGTAGGGGCGTGTCTAGGCCGCGTTACTCACCACTGGTCCGTGTCTAGGCCGCGTTACTCACCACTGGTCCGTGTCTAGGCCGCGTTACTCACCACTGGTCCGTGTCTAGGCCGCGTTACTCACCACTGGTCCGTGTCTAGGCCGCGTTACTCACCACTGGTCCGCGTTACTCACCACTGGTCCGTGTCTAGACCCCGTTACTCACCACTGGTTGGAAGGGTTGTCTCCAAGCCTGGCAGTGGCTCCTCCAGGGTTATTGGGGATGACGTAGGCGTAGTTGAAGCCAGGGCGAAGGTCCCCAACCACTGCCCCCACCACCATCGTCACCACTACCTGTCAATACAACACCAAGGTTAACATTTGATCATCAATATTACTGCCTACATCTCAACGTCTAATCTAGATTTGACGTTGAGATGTAAGTCTCGTCCTGAGCAGACACTCACACCTTGACAAAGCACTCAGGAGAGAGCGAAAGACTTGGTGTAATTTCGTGGCAAATATTTCAATTACACTTGTGTGGGTTTTTATCCTATGTTATTATGTCTATGAGAAGACATTACCATTACTTAATAATAATAATAATAATAATAATAATAATAATAATAATAATAATAATAATAATAATAATAATAATATAATAATAATAATAATAATAATAATAATAATAATGATAATAATAATAATAATAATAATAATATTAATAATAATAATAATAATAATGCACAAAGAAATCACATTAACATGATGTATCAGTAGAAGCCATGAGCAGGATTCGAACTCAGACATACCCAACAACAATAAAGACTTCACTAAAACTGATATATGGAGATAGGTTGATGAACAGAGAATAGGGCCAGAGAGAGCCTAAGTATACCCAGTGTAAAGGTTCATATCACTATCATGACTTCTACTGATATTCTCAATAATAATATTATTATAACAATAATAATAGTAATCTACATGACGTAATCTAAAATACAAAATAAAAAATATAAATATAAATACTGTAACATTAATAAACTTATAATAAAGGTGGTACAAAAAATTATCTAAGATAAATTAACAAAGATCAAATAGTAACTTGACAATTGTAGAAAGTTATTTAGATGATTCAATTTGACAGTTATAAACACATTTATTTTTCATTATGCTTAAATGTTTCTAAAACCAATTAATAATTTAATGTCATTTTAAATTGAGTTTAATTTATTAGAGATGAATATTTTTCGCTTTAATTAGCTTCTTATCACACAAACATCAAATTACATATTATTTATGATGACTATTGTATGTGATTATCATTTGTGGCCCCGTTACTGCTTGTTGTACTCTCAACTTCTGAAGAAAACAACTTTAAAACAGAGGTGTTGTAAATTATATTTAGATTTGCTGAATGTTGCAACACTGGCAGTAATGGCGCGTTGGCATCACTGCTTTTTGTTAGGGAGGTGGGGGGAGGGGGGGAAGGAGGGCAATGATTCCTGTCCACTACACAACTCTCCTGCCCACTACATATCTTTGTTATGCCTAGTATACACCCTCTTCTTGTCAGTACACACCTCTCCTGCCCACTATGCACCTCTCCTCTCCACTACTCTCCTGCCCACTATGCACCTCTCCACTCCACTACTCTCCTGCCCACTATGCACCTCTCCACTCCACTACTCTCCTGCCCACTATGCACCTCTCCTCTCCACTACTCTCCTGCCCACTATGCACCTCTCCACTCCACTACTCTCCTGCCCACTATGCACCACTCCTCTCCACTACTCTCCTGCCCACTATGCACCTCTCCACTCCACTACTCTCCTGCCCACTATGCACCTCTCCTCTCCACTACTCTCCTGCCCACTATGCACCTCTCCTCTCCACTACTCTCCTGCCCACTATGCACCTCTCCTCTCCACTACTCTCCTGCCCACTATGCACCTCTCCTCTCCACTACTCTTCTGCCCAATACACACCTTAATTTAATTAATTAATTTTAATTTTGCCGCGGAAGGCTTATGTATTGGGCAGCGTCACTCATCCCGGGAGTGAAGACCCCGCCATAGTGATGGTATTGGGCATCGTCACTCATCCCGGGAGTGAAGACCCCGCCATAGTGATGGTATTGGGCATCGTCACTCATCCCGGGAGTGAAGACCCCGCCATAGTGATGGTATTGGGCATCGTCACTCATCCCGGGAGTGAAGACCCCGCCATAGTGATGGTATTGGGCAGCGTCACTCATCCCGGGAGTGAAGACCCCGCCATAGTGACTATATTGGGCAGCGTCACTCATCCCGGGAGTGAAAACCCCGCCATAGTGACAGTATTGGGCAGCGTCACTCATCCCGAGAGTGAAGACTCCACCATAGTGACTATATTGGGCAGCGTCACTCACCCCGAGAGTGAAGACCTCGCTATAGTGACAGTATTGGCCACCGTCACTCATCCCAAGAGTGAATAAGACCCCGTCATAGTGACAGTATTGGGCAGCGTCACTCATCCCGAGAGTGAAGACCCCGCCATAGCAGCATGTACAGCGCCTCCCTCCACCTCATCTCCTGTGCCAGGTGAGAACGACGGGCTCACCATAGTCCGTGCTGCGTGGAGCTTTTTGTTCCCAGTAGCTGACTCTTATAACACAACAAGAACAACATCCTCCCTCCAATAGGAAGAAAACTCGCTGGATTGTTCATCCTGTCACCTATACCCAGACACAGCTGGGACTTGCTTAACTGTCTCAAGTGAGCATACTCCGCTGCCCATAACACGAGTTGATTGACAATTGAGAGGCGGGACCAAAGACCCAGAGCTCAACCCCCGCAAGCACAACTAGGTGAGTACTATACACCTTCTTGTCCATTACACACCTCTCCCACTACACATCTCTCCTGTCTACTGCAGACTTCTCCTGTCCACTTCACACCTTTCCTGTCTACTACACATCTCTCCTGTCTACTGCACATCTCTCCTGCCCACTACACACTCTCCTGCGCACTCCACATCCTCCCCTGCCCACTACACACTCTCCTGTCAACTACACACATCTCTCCTGCCCACTACACACTCTCCTGCGCACTACACACTCTCCTGCGCACTCCACATCCTCCCCTGCCCACTACACACTTCACTGCCCACTATTCACCCTCTACTGCCGAGTACATACTATATCCTGCCCATGACACACTCAGGTCTGCACTACACTGATCTCTTGCTCTCTAAACACCTTCTGTCCATTACACTGTAAAATATATTACACCGTCATGTGCATTATACTTGTAAAGTCCTTCTCGTTCCCACTACACTGGAGACGTAAAACCCTGAAATACATCACCCCTTCTTTAACTAACCTTCCCCAATCAAACCAAACCTACCGAAATCCTACACACATTAACCCCATGTTACTTAACGTACTCAACACGCCCTCGCCCTCTATGTCGGTGAGAGGCAATGACAGTCTTGTGTAGTGAGAATCTCCAAGTGGGAGACGTAGTTCTCCATAAAGCAGACAGTAAGAAAGATCAGGGAGCTGATACATCGAACCAGTCTCCTGAAGCCCACATCAAAAGGATGTTATCAGTGGCTCACTAACAAGTGAACAGCCCTTATATATTTGTTAGGAATAATTTTGAACCTCGTATACCTGCATATGTGAGATTAGTTCTGGAATATGCGGCTCCAACATAGAGTCTATACCTTGCCAGGCATAAGACGATGTTGGAGAAGGTTCAGAGGTATGCCACTAGACTAGTTTCAGAACTACGAGGAAAGGTTGCGTGAGTTGCACTTCACGTCGCTGGAAGACAGAAGAGTTAGGAGAGACATGATCACCACATCGAAAATTCTCAGGTAGAGGAATTAAAGACATTATTTAACTCGAGTGGAACTCGTACAAGGGGACACATGTGAAAACTGGATACCCAAATGAGCCAAAGAGACATTAATACGAGCGTTTTTAGTGTCAGAGTAGTTAAAAAACGGAATGCACTGGTCGGTGATGTGGTGGTGGCAGACTCCATACACAGTTTCGTATGTAGATATGATAGTCCAATAAGTTCAGGAACCTGTACACCGGTTGAGAGGCGGAACCACAGAGCCGAAGTTCAACCCTCTAAGCACAATTAGGTGAGTACAATACACCAGCTGCCGGGAACACATTCTTTATTTCCAACAACACACTTTGACCGGACAATTAAATCACTATACTCTCAGATTTTTTGATGTGGCAACACAGCGACGAAGTTGTGTGGGAAAATAAATTGGCAGTCACTGTGTAGGAGCAATAACCCCGGCCCGCTACATGCCCTCTGATGCCCACCCTGCACCTTAACCTGCCCACGCCCTCTCCTGCCCACGCCCTCCCCTGCCCACGCCCTCCCCTGCCCACACCCTCTCCTGCCAACACCCTCTCCTGCCTTACACCCTCTCCTGCCCACACCCTCTCCTGCCTTACACCCTCTCCTGCCCACACCCTCTCCTGCCTTACACCCTCTCCTGCCAACACCCTCTCCTGCCTTACACCCTCTCCTGCCCTACACCCTCTCCTGCCCACACCTTCTTCCGCACACACCGAGGGTGCCGGAGCCGTGTGGACAGCACGCTGGAGATGTAATCCTCTGGCCCGGGTTATATTCCCGGCGCCGGCGAGAAAAAAAATGAGCAGAGTTTCTTCGTGCAGTTGCTGGAAAGCTGGTCGACTGAAAATCCGTGACGTGAACCCGGATCATATAAATCCTTCACGTGAACCCGGATCATATAAATCCTTCACGTGAACCCGGATCATATAAATCCTTCACGTGGACCCGGATCCAATAAACCCTTCACGTGATCCGGGATCATATTAATCCCTCATTCTGATGTTACGACCACAAGGCAGATCTACGGTCCGGTTGCGCCAGCGTCTCCCACTACGAGAGCTTGACTCAGCGCAGTACGGAGGCGGGTCGTGAGGACGGAGGCGGGGCGTGAGGACGGAGGCGGGGCGTGAGGACGGGGGCGGGGCGTGAGGACGGAGGCGGGGCGTGAGGACGGAGGCGGGTCGTGAGGACGGAGGCGGGGCGTGAGGACGGAGGCGGGGCGTGAGGACGGAGGCGGGGCGTGAGGACGAAGGCGGGGCGTGAGGACGGGGGCGGGGCGTGAGGACGGAGGCGGGGCGTGAGGACGGGGGCGGGGCGTGAGGACGGAGGCGGGGCGTGAGGACGGGGCCGGCCGTGAGGACGGAGGCGAGGCGTGAGGACGGAGGCGGGGCGTGAGGACGGAGGCGGGGCGTGAGGACGGAGGCGGGGCGTGAGGACGGAGGCGGGGCGTGAGGACGGAGGCGGGGCGTGAGGACGGAGGCGGGGCGTGAGGACGGAGGCGGGGCGTGAGGACGGAGGCGGGGCGTGAGGACGGAGGCGGGGCGTGAGGACGGAGGCGGGGCGTGAGGACGGAGGCGGGGTGTGAGGACGGAGGCGGGGCGTGAGGACGGAGGCGGGGCGTGAGGACAAAGGCGGGGTGTGAGGACGGAGGCGGGGTGTGAGGACAAAGGCGGGGTGTGAGGACAAAGGCGGGGTGTGAGGACGGAGGCGGGGTGTGAGGACGGAGGCGGGGTGTGAGGACAAAGGCGGGGTGTGAGGACAAAGGCGGGGTGTGAGGACGGAGGCGGGGTGTGAGGACAAAGGCGGGGTGTGAGGACAAAGGCGGGGCGTGAGGACGGAGGCGGGGTGTGAGGACAAAGGCGGGGTGTGAGGACAAAGGCGGGGTGAGAGGACGGAGGCGGGGTGAGAGGACGGAGGCGGGGTGTGAGGACGGAGGCGGGGTGTGAGGACGGAGGCGGGGTGTGAGGACGGAGGCGGGGTGTGAGGACGGAGGCGGGGTGTTAGGACGGAGGCGGGGTGTGAGGACGGAGGCTGGGTGTGAGGACGGAGGCGGGGTGAGAGGACGCACTGGACCAGGTGAGTGGCGATGACCTGCAGCAGGGAGGGAGGGAGGGTGAGGTGGGCCCACTTCAGGGCTGGGAGCAGGGAGAGATTAAGGATGGGGGGGGGGGAATAGTCTATCCTTCTGCACAATTGCACCATCACAATCTAAGCACAATCTCAACCCCCCCCCCCCATTCTTCTCCTCTTTTATTCATTAACATGTATTTACTTCTACATTATTTATCATTTATATCACTATCGAGCTATCTGGGGCATCCCTTTCCCAAATTTGCACGGGGATTGTGGTGGGGTTGGTGCCCAACATTGGTAGAGCGGGTCAGGTCCCATTGATCTTATTAAGAGGGAGTCGGATCCCATTGCGACCTCCTCCCCCCACGAAATCGGTGGAAAGTTTTTAGAATTATTTGAACAAGGACAATCGCATGTGGGCTGGTGTCGGCTCACATGATATATATGTCTTAGGTACCCGGGTAGACCCAGGTGACCTACTAGATGGTAGACCCAGGTTGTCTACCAGATGGTAGACCCACGTGGTCTATCAGATGGAAGACCCAAGTTGTCTAGTAATATCTATACTATAAGGAAGAATGTGTTTGTTTGTTCGATTATCGGTCACACACGTGGGGGCAAGCGTTACCCAAATTGACCGAAGAAATTGTCTGGGGTATGGGATGAACATAGGCTGGTTGGGGTTGACAGATTTCAAAAGGGAACAGCGTGCCAGGGGCAACATTCAGACCTATTTTTAGCACTGACTGCCTTCTATTCAGCAAAATATTTTCAAAACAATCATTTCAAAATATTTTTATAGTAATATGCACCATTATTCACAGATCTTGGGAAAATTAACAGAAATTTCCAGGTGTCATTAATTTGCCCGTACTGGCATAAACCAGACAATTCTTTCACCCCTTCAAAGGTCTCACAATCTGTCCTTGATCAGAGTAAGAGGTAATTATTATTGTTTAGTATTTCACACCAAATAAGCTCCTCTCACAATCTGTACTTTTACAAAGAACGTCACTTTTTCACTCGAATGCGTTACATGAGGCCAAAAACTGTCATACTAGAAAATAAAGCCGTCTCGCACAAATGACATACTGTCCCGTTTTCTGTTTTGGGTACTCTGGTAGGTTAGGAGAGGACACTTTAAATTGAACGTTTTCTTGACGTTGGGAAACCTTAGGAGGACGGGCTGCTCTCGCAGTGGCGGTCTTGGGCGACCAGAACACATTAGACAATGGACGGGGCGTTACCTTTTTTTTGGAGAAAGAGAGATAGATAGACATACAGACAAAGACAATATAAGGCCACAACAAAAGCAAAGGACCACAACAAAAGCAAAGGACCACAACAGGGCCACAATAAAAGCAAAGGACCACAACAGGGCCACAACAAAAGCAAAGGACCACAACAGAACCACAACAAAAACAAAGGACCACAACAGGGCCACAACAAAAAGAAAGGACCACAACAAAAGCAAAGGACCACAACAGGGCCACAATAAAAGCAAAGGACCACAACAGGGCCACAATAAAAGCAAAGGACCGCTACGGTAATAGAGTCACACCAAAATATACAGTTAAAACCAAAATGGTTGACAACAATACACACACACACACCTCCGTATGGGCACAAGAACAACTCATCAGCCACACCAGCACTAATACGCATCTCTCGAGCTACTACAATTATTTCTACTCACAGAGAGACGCATGTTGCTGGCCGGGTCAAGATCAAGGCTGAGACGCTGCCCTTGACTACCCCGTCTTATATACCCGCAGTGTTGCCCACGCCACGGTCTCCTTCCACTCCAGTAACCTCCTTCTAACATATAATGTTAATTGGTTTCATTTTGACCAGAAATTCATGTGAATTGGTTATTTACACTGTAGTAAGATATATGGAAAACATTGATGAGGTTTGTTGAGGGCAACATGACGTAGTTACCAGATGAATGATTTATGTCAAAACTCTGGGGCGTTGCTCCCAGGACGGTGGAGGGGGGGGGGAGGGGGTCCTGGTTCCCCCCCTCTTGGTTATTTGGTACTGCATGTATGCTGTCAGGGTCTAATTGCAAGTATGTGATATTAACAATTACGTAACGAGCGTCACAAGATTGTCAATTGCTAAGCTAAGCAAACTTTGGGGTTCAGTTCCTGAACCCATAATGTACCTCTTCAACCCTTTCCACCACCGCCCACGGGATGGGGTGGGTGCTTTATTATGGGGTGCATAATAAAGAATTTATATAAATGGATTTAAAATACTAAAATACAGTTCTTCTCAGCTGGATGTGTTGCTCTGGGCCAGAATCACAGCCGGATATGTTTCTATGGGTCAGAAACTCAACTGGATGTGTAACTCTGGGTCAGAAACACAGCCGGATGTGTTACTCTGGGTCAGAAAAAAGCCGGATGTGTTGCTCTGGGTCAGAAACACATCTGGATGTGTTGTTCTGGGTCAGAAACACAGCCAGATGTGTTGTTCTGGGTCAGAAACACAGCCTGATGTGTTACTCTGGGTCAGAAACACATCTGGATGTGTTGTTCTGGGTCAGAAACACATCTGGATGTGTTGTTCTGGGTCAGAAACACAGCCGGATGTGTTACTCTGGGTCAGAAAAAAGCCGGATGTGTTGCTCTGGGTAAGAAACACAGCCGGATGTGTTGCTCTGGGTCAGAAACACAGTTGGATATGTTGCTCTGGGTCAGAAAAACAGCCGGATGTGTTGCTCTGGGTCAGAAAAAAGCCGGATGTGTTGCTCTGGGTAAGAAACACAGCCGGATGTGTTGCTCTGGGTAAGAAACACAGCCGGATGTGTTGCTCTGGGTCAGAAACACAGCCGGATGTGTTGCTCTGGGTCAGAAACACAGTTGGATATGTTGCTCTGGGTCAGAAACACAGCTGGATGTGTTGCTCTGGGTCAGAAAAACAGCCGGATGTGTTGCTCTGGGGTCAAAAACACAGCTGAATGTGTTGGTCTGGATCAGAAATACAGCTGAATGTGTTGCTCTGGATCAAAAACACAGCTGAATGTGTTGCTCTGGGTCAGAAACACAGCCGGATGTATTGCTCGGGATCAGAAACACAGCTGAATGTGTTGCTCTTGATAAGAAACACACCTGAATGTGTTGCTCTTGATAAGAAACACACCTGGATGTGTTGCTCTGGGACAAAAACTCCAGGCGACTTCCTATCTGCTGGCGACCCCAATTAAGACCAGCTTTATTTTTCTTCATAGTCGTCTTCTTTGTTTGCTTTTTCTCGAAAAAATATTTGTGTGGTCCGCTAGGACCTTGCGGACCAAAATGTTTTACATAATTATATTTTACATAAAATAATCGTTAAATAATTACGGCGACGTAGGCCTTCATAACCTCTGGCAAATTACTTCACTTGAACCCCATTTTCCTTCCCTCCCCCCCTCCTCTCCTCTCCTGTTCATCCTTGACCTCCTTTTGACCTATCTTCTTCGTCTCCTACTCATCTTCCCTCTCAGGCAGTTTGGAGAGAGCTGCGTAGAACCAAACAAAAATGATTGTTCTTCACAAGACCTTCCAAACAAGATCCTTATAAGGGAGAACAACAGTAATTCGAGCAACAGGGACATAGGTGCTTCGCGCTCGTCTCCAGAGAGTGGTATTCATCCTCACTCGTTGTTTCGGTAAACTACCATCATAAACCTTGCATTCTACTTATATTTATGTAACTTATATAGATTTAGAGCTATATCAGAAAATAATATGAGTAGACGAGGAATGATGATAACAATAATATTAAAAGTTATTACGACTGGGTGAATCTCATCGAAACTTGTAAAATAATGAACAATTTGTGTATTGGTTCAGACAACTTCTTCAAAATAACTTATTCTTCAGATGTAACACAAACAAGGAACAACGGTTTCAAGCTCAACACCCCACAATGTAGGACAGAAAATGGGTGATATTTTTTCATCGACAGGAATATAAACCCATGGAACCGCCTACCCGCCGAAGCTGTAAACGCCAAAACAATGCTGAATTGTAAAATCCAGCTTGACAAAATCATCAGGACAAATAGAGGAACCTTTGACCAACCGTCGGCTTCCTGTCTTCGTCGAGGCCACTAGAGTGTTAGTGGACCTCAGGTAAATATTATTATTATTATTGAGAAAATTGACAGGCGATGATGAGGATTCGAACCTGTACACTGGGTGCTCTCAAAATTACGCCCTAAACAACTCGGCCACGACCTGATCATAAGTATTGCAACTTGGAATTCGATTGAATCCTCAAGGGGTCCTCAGGCTTCCACTGAAGCCCAATCAGGGTTGCACGCACAGTCCGCCATGTACTCTGGCTGAGGTACAGGAGTTCCAAGAGTACCTCCAGCCCTTGTTGTTGGAGTTGACTGACAGTTGAAAGGCGGGACCAAAGAGCCGAAGCACAATTCCTTAAAGCACAACTTGGTGAGTGCAAAGAAATCGCATTAACGTGATGTATCATGGACCCATGTATCATGGACCCATGTATCATGGACCCGTGAATCATGGACCCGTGTATCATGGACCCATGTATCATGGACTCATGTATCATGGACCCGTGTATCATGGATCCATGTATCACGGACCCATGTATCATAGACCCATGCATCATGGACCCGTGTATCATGGACCCATGTATCATAGACCCATGTATCATGGACCCGTGAATCATGGACCCGTGTATCATGGACCCATGTATCATGGACTCATGTATCATGGACCCGTGTATCATGGATCCATGTATCACGGACCCATGTATCATAGACCCATGTATCATGGACCCGTGTATCATGGACCCATGTATCATAGACCCATGTATCATGGACCCGTGAATCATGGACCCGTGTATCATGGACCCATGTATCATGGACTCATGTATCATGGACCCGTGTATCATGGACCCATGTATCATGGACCCGTATATCATAGACCTGTGTATCATGGACCTATGTATCATAGACCCGTGTATCATGGACCCATATGTATCATAGACCCGTGTATCATGGACCCGTGTATCATGGACCCATGTATCATGGACCCCTGTATCATGAACCCATATATATCATGGACCCCTGTATCATGGACTCATGTATCATTGACCGTGTATCATGGACCCATGTATCATGGACTCGTGTATCATGGACCCGTGTATCATGGACTCATGTATCATGGACCCGTATATCATAGACCTGTGTATCATGGACCCGTGTATCGTGGAACTATCTATCATGGACCCGTGTATCATGGACCCGTGTATCATGGACCCGTGTATCATGGACCCGTGTATCGTGGACCCATGTTTCGTGGACCCATGTATCATGGACCCGTGTATCTGTATCATGAACCCATGTATCATGGACCAATGTATCATGGACCCGTGTATCATGGATCCATGTATCATGGACCGTGTATCATAGACCCATGTATCATGGACCCATGTATCATGGACCCGTGTATCATGGGCCCATGTATCATGGACCCGTGTATCATGGACCCATGTATCATGGACCCATGTATCATTGACCCGTATATCATGGACAAATGTATCATGAACCCATGTATCACGGACTCGTGTATCATGGACTCATGTATCATGGACCCGTGTATCATGGACCCATGTATCATAGACCCGAGTATCATGGACCCGTGTATCATAGACCAATGTATCATGGACCCGTGTATCTTAGACCCATGTATCATGGACCCATGTATCATGGATTCATGTATCATGGGCCCGTGTATCATGGACCCATGTATCATGTACCCGTGTGTCATGGACCCAGGTATCATGAACCCGTGTATCATAGACCTGTGTATCATGGACCCGTGTATCGTGGAACTATCTATCATGGACCCGTGTATCATGGACCCGTGTATCATGGACCCGTGTATCATAGACCTGTGTATCGTGGACCCATGTTTCGTGGACCCATGTATCATGAACCCGTGTATCATGGACCAGTGTATCATGGAGCCATGTATCATGGACCCATGTATCATGGACCCATGTATCATGGACCCGTGTATCATGGACCCGTGTATCATGGACCCGTGTATCATAGACCTGTGTATCGTGGACCCATGTTTCGTGGACCCATGTATCATGAACCCGTGTATCATGGACCAGTGTATCATGGACCCAAGTATCATGGACCGTGTATCATGGAGCCATGTATCATGGACCCGTGTATCATGGACTCATGTATCATGGACCCATGTATCATGGACCCGTGTATCATGGACCCGTGTGTCATGGACCCGTGTATCATAGACCTGTGTATCGTGGACCCATGTTTCGTGGACCCATGTATCATGAACCCGTGTATCATGGACCAGTGTATCATGGACCCAAGTATCATGGACCGTGTATCATGGAGCCATGTATCATGGACCCGTGTATCATGGACTCATGTATCATGGACCCATGTATCATGGACCCGTGTATCATGGACCCGTGTGTCATGGACCCGTGTATCATGAACCCATGTATTATGGACCATGTATCATGGACCCGTGTATCATGGACCCGTGTATCATGGACCCGTGTGTCATGGACCCGTGTATCATGAACCCATGTATTATGGACCATGTATCATGGACCCTTGTATCATGGACCCGTGTATCATGGACCCGTGTATCATGGTCCCGTGTATCATGGACCCTTGTATCATGGACCCGTGTATCATGGACCCGTGTATCATGGACCCGTGTATCATGGACCCGTGTGTCATGGACCCGTGTGTCATGGACCCGTGTGTCATGGACCCGTGTATCATGGACCCATGTATCATGGACCCATGTATCATGGATCCAAGAGCTGAAAGTAAGAAGATAAAAGTAAGAGTACAAAAATAAGAAGTAGAAAGTGAGAGTAAAAAAGTAAGAATACAAAAGTAAGAGAACTAAAATAAGTTGAAATTAAGAGTACAAACGTAAGAAGCTGAGAAAAAGAGTACAAATTAAGAAGCTGAGAGTAGGAGTACAAAAGTTAAGAATTTGTAAGTAAGAAGTCGATTGCAGGAATACAGGAGGAAAGATTTTAGTAACCTTTAAGTAAGAGTTAAGTAAGAGACTCTGAACAGATGATTCTCAGGTACCTCTTGGACATCAGAGTGCCATACTGTCAGGTGAGGTCAATATGAGGAGTGAGGGAGACAAGTGAATGAGAAGTCTTGCCTGGTGGAATGAGGAGTGAGGGAGAGAAGTGAGAGGAACTGCCTGGTGGAATGAGCAAGTGGTGAGACCAGTTGACGACACGAGGGACGTCAATTACATGAATTAAAAGCAAATAGAAAAATAAAGGTAACGGAAAAAAATTAAATACGATGAGATTATATGACATGAACAGATAAATATAAAAAACTACAAATGAGGAGCTGAGATACAATGAAAGAAAGCAAAACATTAAAAATATATTTTGTAGTTCAATATGGAGATTTATGACAAATGTATCGAAATATTACATATTATCATACTTTGAGTTGATTTCGGGCCTCAACGTCCCCGCGGCCCGGTCCCTAACCAGGCCTCCTGGTTGCTGGACTGGACAACCAGGCTGTTGGAAGTGGCTGCTCGCAGCCTGACATCCATCATGGACAAATATTTTTCGCTAAAGAAAATATCTAAAATATACAGAAAAAAAATTGTAACCACAATAAGGACAACATTGACGAATGATTGGAAAAATTAAAGCGATTAGTTTTGCTGATCTTAGAAGAGTGTTACGGGCAACCCGCCAAACACACACCGAAACTACGACGTTGGTACAACGTTCGAACAAGTTTTAACACCTCCTAACCAGTTAAAACAACCAATATAGCAAGTTGTAACAACGTTCTAATACGTCATAAACACGTTAAGCCAAGATGTAACAACTTTATTACAAGTTGTAACAAGCGGAAAATAGAGACAGTTTCGGTTTGTGTTTCCAGGGAATATGCAGAAGATATATGGTAGGATATACATGGAAGGAGATATATGGCAGGAGATATATGGGAAGGAGATATATGGCAGGAGATATGGAAGGAGATATATGGCAGGAGATATATGCAGGAGATATATGGAAGGAGATATATGGAAAATAGACATGTGGCAGAAATGATGATGAACTGATGATAAGAATCTGCCAGAAGACGCGGAAGAGTGGGCAGTACCTGGGAATTGGAGAAATCATGTGATTGTGCAGTTTCAAAACCAATGATTTAGTATATGGAGTAAATGAACTATAATAGAGGACGCCACAGGTGGAGCTGGCACGGCTGGTGGAGTTGGCACGGCAGGTGGAGTGAGCACGGCAGGTGGAGTGAGCACGGCAGGTGGAGTGAGCACGGCAGGTGGAGTGAGCATGGCAGGTGGAGTGAGCACGGCAGGTGGAGTGAGCACGGCAGGTGGAGTGAGCACGGCAGGTGGAGTGAGCACGGCAGGTGGAGTGAGCACGGCAGGTGGAGTGAGCACGGCAGGTGGAGTGGGTACGTCTGGTGGAGTGGGCACGGCTGGGGTGGCAAGGTACGATCTGGGGGTGGAAGGCGCAGGACGGCAGGCTGATGACCTCAAGTGAGAAACTGGTTCCTCAGGTGACCGTCGCTCTGTCCTGCAGGCCTTCCACAACCTGCTCCACCCCCCCCCCACCCCACCCGAAGTGAATCGGTTGGCGTTCAATCCCCGACCGTCCAAGTGGCTGGGCACCATTCCTTCTCTCCTCCACCCTCCCCCGTCCCATCCCAAACCCTTATCCTGACCCCTTCCAAGTGCTATATAGTCGTAATGGCTTGGCGCTTTCCCCTGATAGTTCCCTTCCCTCCCACCAGCCTATTGCGCTGCTCCCCTATCATACTCCTCTGCTCTTCTGCCCTACTAAACTGCCCACCTGCCTTCCTCCACTGCCCGCCTGCCTTCCTCCACTGCCCTCCTGCCTTCCTCCACTGCCCGCCTGCCCTTCTCCACTGCCCTCCTGCCTTCCTCCACTGCCCGCCTGCCTTCCTCCACTATCCTCCTGCCTTCCTCCACTGCCCGCCTGCCCTTCTCCACTGCCCTCCTGCCTTCCTCCACTGTCCTCCTGCCTTCCTCCACTATCCTCCTGCCTTCCTCCACTGTCCTCCTGCCCTTCTCCACTGCCCGCCTGCCTTCCTCCACTACCCGCCTGCCCTTCTCTACTTCCCGCCTGCCCTTCTCCACTAACCGCCTGCCCTTCTCCACTACCCGCCTGCCCTTCTCCACTACCCGCCTGCCCTTCTCCACTACCCGCCTGCCCTTCTCCACTACCCGCCTGCCCTTCTCCACTGTCCTCCTGCCTTCCTCCACTGTCCTCCTGCCTTCCTCCACTATCCTCCTGCCTTCCTCCACTGTCCTCCTGCCTTCCTCCACTATCCTCCTGCCTTCCTCCACTGTCCTCCTGCCTTCCTCCACTGTCCTCCTGCCTTCCTCCACTATCCTCCTGCCTTCCTCCACTGTCCTCCTGCCTTCCTTCACTGTCCTCCTGCTTTCCTCCACTATCCTCCTGCTTTCCTCCACTGTCCTCCTGCCTTCCTCCACTATCCTCCTGCCTTCCTCCAATATCCTCCTGCCTTCCTTCACTGCCCTCCTGCCTTCCTCCACTGCCCTCCTGCCTTCCTCCACTGCCCTCCTGCCTTCCTCCACTGCCCTCCTGCCTTCCTCCACTGCCCTCCTGCCTTCCTTCACTGCCCTCCTGCCTTCCTCCTCTGCCCTCCTGCCTTCCTCCACTGCCCTCTTCCTTCCTCCACTGACTGTCTTCCTTTCTCCACTGGCAGCCTGCCTTCCTCGATTGCCTGGCTGCCCTTTTCTATTGGCCGCCTGCCCTTCTCAACTACTCTCCTACACCTCCTCCACTGTCCACGTGCCCTCTGCCTCAGAACACTGCCTTAAGGAAGCGAAAACTGCAATAAAGGAGGAAGAAACGAGTCCAGACGTCTGCCGTTGGCAGGGAATCAAGTACGGGTCTAACACCATAAGAACAAAGCGGATCACTAGCAAGATTTATATTTCAAATTGTTCATTCTGCCAAAGGTGAGAAAATTAATGTAAACTCTGAGAAAATTATCCTTTACAATGTGGTGAGCCAGGAGAGCACAAGTGCTCTGGTGCTCATTTGTACGATACAACACAAAATTTTGCGACTTTTCAAACGTCGTTTGTAGGTGGAAATGTAATGTCCGTTGCGGAAAATAAATACACTGTTATATCTCAACATTAACTTATATAGTCGCAACTGCTTAGTGCTTTCTCTTGATAATTACATTTCCATGTCAAGCAGATGTTCGGTGACCCCCGGAGACTCCCTGGGACTCCCGGGGAGGCGAACGACGAACCCCAACCCCAACAGAAAACCAGGAGGGAGACCCCAGTGAACCCTGACGATAAGGTGTCAGGCGTCCCGTAAACTCTGTCGCGGCCTAACGGCAGAACCACTACGGCTACCCCTATAATCGAGTTCAATCGGACAAAAACAGAAAAATGTCTTCCAGTGACCTCTGGCTAAGCAGAAGCCTGACGCACACGACCCACTAAGGGCACATCAGGGGCCTATCAACACCCGCCGACTTCCGGCACCTTTCGACCAAGCTAGCGCCGGACACCGCCTCATCGCTCGGAAATCGGAAAACGGAAAATCTATCAATTTATAATCCCAGGCGATAATTACAACTTGAGTCATAAAAACGAAACGCTATGTCTGTTAGTGGATTTGCAAGAATGCAAGAACACCAATGATTCAACTCGAACGCTCGTCCGCTCCTGACGACCCTGCTGCCCCTCCAACTTTATCAGCTGCTCCTTGAGCCCACAACATCCCAAACATGATGTAACAACCCCAGAAGGCAGCTAAGTACCCAGTGACCTAAATGTGATCGAAACATACGACAAAACCAACCTACTAGCTCATCTCGACCTCATTAGTGTTGCTCCCTGGAGGAAGCTTAACCTGACGTTCGCTGCTGCCACATCAACGAGTCTACCCCATCTGCCTGCGTACATTTCTCCTGCTACCATGCAAAACAATTCTAAGCTCGGTAAGGCCGCAAAGAAAGATAGCACACCTATCAGGATGAATCCAACCAACCATGCTAGCAACAGGAATAATGCAGCTGTCTCCCCCTTAGTGACTGCCGGGGGGGGGGGGGGCACCGACTCTTCCTTCGACAACAATAACAAACCTTCCAAGCTGAGTGGAGCGTCGTCACCGACTCGAGCCATGCAACAGTTATGTAACCATATGGAGCAACTTAAGTTATGTAACCATATGGAGCAACTTAAGTT